TTGTAGAATTACATCAGAATGTATATTCTCTTTTTAGTCCAATCATGCCAGCTTTAGATTGTGTTTTTCCATATTCCTTTTACATAGAGTTATGTATATTTTTTATAGCTCTGATTTTCCTATGTCCATGTTTATCATCTTAGGTATCTCTCTTCTCTAACTCTATTCTGTGTATTGTTCGATGGGTACCTTTCTCAAATTCTTATATTTATTTTCTCTCCATCTTTGTTGCCATACTCACCTATACTTGGGCTTTGTAGTTTTCTTGTTCTACTCAAATAGTAGAATAATCACATTCAAATTCAGTTACTTTATTTATATTGAAAGGTAACTTGGTTTGATGGCAAGTACCCTGAAAGTACCCTAAAAGAGCTGATTTAGGTTCGGGCTCTTCTTACTTTAACTGTGTAATTGAGAAAGAAATTTCACATACTTGAGTTTAATCTTCTTAATTATAAAAGAGAGAAAATTTATTTCTTGTAAATAGGATATGATACCATGAAGGGGTACCAAATAGTGATGTGTTCTTGGAAAAATCAGAATTTCCATATCTATTATCTATAGACCATATCTTCTATAAAACAACTTTTAGTGAATGAAGTCAGAGTTGGTGTCCAGAGAAATGCAAAATAGGTTGTCCAGTGTTTCTAGATATTTTGGTAATAACTTTGGAATTTCTTCTCCTATTTACTCAGCTATACTCTTTTGTTTCACAGATCACATTCTGTAGTCATCCTATATTCATCTTCCCAGTAGGTTTATCACATAAGTGCACATAAGAAAACTTTTATGGTACACCAAATTTTTTTGACAGAGAGATTATTATTGAGTTAGCCAGGGTTCTCTAGAGGAACAGAACTTATACATAAGAGGCAATTTAATTGTTGGCTTATACTGCCTTAGGCTAGATAATCCCATAATGGCTACCTGCAGACTGGAGAGCTGGGAAAACTGGTAGCTGCTCAGTTCAAGAAACTGGAAGTATCAGAATAAGGGGACCAATGATGCAGCCTCAGTGCAAGACTGAAGTCCTGGAAGCTCCCTGGAGAGTCACTGGATCTAGTATGTCTTAAAAGGCTGAACAATCTGCAGTCTGATGTCTGAAGATGATGGCAGAAGCAAAAATTACAGATGTTTAAGAAGAATTGAGTTTGCATGCACCAGCAAATCCCATCACCACTTGTGCTCTTTGTTCCATCTGGGCCCCCAGCCTATTGGGTGGTGCTACCCACATGTAGGGCAGGTCTCCCCGCTAAACACAGCCCCAGTTTGCTGACCCATATGCTAATCATCTCTGGAAAACACTATTACAGATGCACCCAGAAGATGTTTTGCCAATTTTCTAGGTGGTCTCTCAATTCAGCAAGTTGACAACCAAGATTAACCACCACAGTTATTGAATAATGGAAGCAATTTTTTTTCTTTTGAATGCCAAAACCCAGTGGAAATTTGTGCTCTATGTGAATGATTAGCAGAAATGTAGAGAAACTCATTGAAGGTATTAATTTGTCTTTAGGTAGAATATAAATCATGTATTCCCTTTGAAAAGTATTCTGTGTGGCTATGTTATTGAAGAAATAATAGCTACATGACCTAATATGGGATTGAAAGTTGAATTTAGATACGATTTCCTTGAATAATAGTCATTAAGAACTGTCAATGTGCACACATGTAAGCCCATGTGTGTTTGAAAGGGAAGAGCAAACTACAGAAAACCAAGGAAGTTAGAGTGAATTAAACATTTTTAATCAATTAAAATCTGTTTAAAATCACACTTATCAATAATTTTATCAGTAAGAGTTATTCTGGAAATCTACTCAGAAAACCTCTTTGAGTCTTCATCAGCAGATATCTGCAAGAGGTGATTTTCTTTCTTGGCTGCCACTATTTATCAGCAGTAGATGTGACCTCTTTGTAAGGGCTGATAAGGAAGAAATCATAGTATCTATATAAAAGGCTGCATTGAAAAAACCTTCCAGTATTTCCGTTACTTGGCCATAAGTTTCCATGGAAGTGGGCTCACCATCATCAGCAGGAGTCCATTTCAGCTGCTGGCTTCTGGTTCTTGTTTCTTTGTTACCATGGATATTATCTAGAAAGTGGCAGAAGAGTCAGAAGTTTAAAAAACAGCATTTGATTACAAAATATGATTAAAACCATATTCTGTTTCTTATCATTTTAAAATTTCAAGTTATTTTGTGAGATGAGTTTATTAATTTGAATAGAGCCAAATTTTGAGGCTGTGGACACGCTGAATTAAAAAAACGAAAGTGTCACAGTTTCTATTGGAATTGAGCCTAAGGGGAGCCCCAGATTTCAAATTAGGGTTTATTAGGGCTTAAAATGTGTAACCTGAAATGTGAAGAGCTAAGGATACTGGCAATAACAGAGTCCAAAACAATAAACCATAAAAAAGGACTAGCAGCGTGTAGAAATAATGACTAGCTGTTATTTATGAGGGACGTTGTATCTTCAAAGTGTGTCACATTTATTTAGGTTGATGTCCATGGTTTGTACCCATGTTTTCAACTTGAGTGGGAAACCTTGGGCGTAGGAAGTAAGGACATTTTAAGGACAGAAGCATACTGACATTTTAATTGCTGTTTGAGGAGTTGGAAAGTTAACAAATATAGATTGTTCCACATTTAAAAAAGAAATAGAGGTCCCTCTCTCTGGCAAGACCAGTTGTATTTATGAATTACTCATGAAGGAGAGAAGAGGTAGAATGATAATGTAAAAGATATAAAAGGAAAGTTATTTAGCAAAATTGCAATCTCAACTTCATTACAGTTTTTCTTTGAGGTCTGTATTCCATGAGAATTCTTTGGTTAGCATGTGCCAGCATCCCCATTTGGACTACTTTATGCAAAGAAAGACAGGAATATAGATTCACCTGGAATCAGGGACCCTAGTCACACTAGGGTTTCTTTTTGATTTTTGGTTTTCCATATCATCTTTTCTCTGTATCAAGTTCTTCCTTTCAGATCTTTTACTTTGGCAGGAATTGTGGCTGCTGGTGCTTCCCAGTCCTTTTACCTATAGCTTCAAAAACAGAGAAGGTCCAGTTTGTATTGGGCCATTTTTTTCTTCCCCAGCTGTGGCCAGTTGAGTAAGGCTCTATGCAGCTTGGTACAGGGAAGCCCACCCCGATCTAAGTAGACAGAGCTTTGTAGCTAGAGGAACTGAGATCTGACATAGAACAGTTTTCCTTCAAACCACTTGGAGATAGGGAAAGACTGGGAAAGTCTGAAGAGAGAAAGGGGCATTTCCTAGAAAAGCAGAAGATACCATTCCAGGCAGAAATAAATAGAGGTTTTCCACTCGTGGTGGTCTAAGGAAAAAATATTTGCTTTACTATAATCCATTTATCTTCAATTTAGTAATTCAGGAAATACCATTTTGTAGGATTTAGTTTTGAGGAAAAAGCCAGCATTTAAAAACTTTACAATTAGTGCTTCCTATATGACTGGCTCAGTTGTAATTCCATGTATATATGTTTTCTCTTTCACTTTCCATGATCATTAGAAGTATATACTTCCATTTTAGGGCATGAGGAAGGGGGTCAGAGAGTTGAGATGACTTGCCATATGACCCATGAGAGGCAGAACCAGAATTTAGATAACTCATCAGAGTTTCTAGAATGTAATGTAAGGCATTTTCCTCTACAGGGTACTTTCTTTTTGGTTAACTTCATTAAGAAGATGCATAGGATGAATTATGATAATAGTACCATCTGTTAAGTGCTTTGATCAAAATGAGTCATGAATCACTTAGAATACTACAGAATAATATTTATGAAAGGAACCCTTAAAGATCGTATGATACACTGGTTTTCAAACTTTTTGACTTTCAGCCATGGGATCCATGTTAGTAAATTTTATATCATCATAACAATCAACTTGTAAAGAGAAAATATTTGTTTCAGTTTTGAAGGTTTTAGCTTTGATTGAATGGCCTCATTATTTTGGGCCTGTGGTGAGGCAACTTATCGAGGTGGGAGAATGTGGCAGTGCAGAACTGCTCATCTCATGGCCAGGAAGCAAAAGAGATGAAAGAGCAACAGATCAAGGGTCCCGCACTCACCGTGGGAGCACACCTTCAATGAGTTGTAGACCCCTGACTAAACTCTACCTCTTATAGATCCCACCACTTCTTCCTAGTAGCACTATGCTAGTGACCATGTTTAACAAAACAGGACCTTTGCGGGGAGAGTTAAGGTCCAAACTACAGCAGAATCCCTTCTTCAAATGAAATGCTATATCTTAGTCAATCATGAAATGGGTAAAATCATCCCATTCTGGAGAGAGCCCAGCACTTCAAAGTTTTAACCACTTCTTTTGAAGTCTTGAGAGTTCTTTGGAGGTTATTTTGAATACCCTTTATTTAGGGAAGCTGAGACCCAAATAGGGTCAATGATGTACTCAGTTTCACATAATTTTATATTATAGGAATTTCAGTCACATTCCTGTTTTCAGTTATAAAGATGCACGAAAATTTTTTACTGGTTGAAAAAACCATGAAGCTTACAAATTGATTAGTTAGAATTTAGAAATGCTCTCAATGATTTTATTTTCCAGTTTTGTGGTACTTTTATGTAGCTCATGGCATAGCAATTCTATGTCACACTCTTATTAAATATCCATTTCTTTTGGTCTTATTTTTGAGTTGAGCTATATATTGTCTGGATTTGGATTAGGGCTAGTCTTGGCTACATTTTTTTTATATGTTTGACTTCTAAAATACATTAAGTTCTCAATTCGTTCTTAAATAGGAGGGTGTCAAATTTTGCATACATGAAACTCATGGGGGTAATACTTAAATCTTATTGAAATGAATGACTTTCATGTGTTTTTGAATTTTGAGTATCTCTTCTTCACAGTTAGAAATGTAAACAGGCTTGGATGAAATGTAAAATGAATTGGGTGGAAAGAAGTTAATTTTCACATTGGGATGAAAAAAGTTTATTTTTCACAAGACCAGACTTTTGATGTCTCCCTTAGGAGAGTCAAGCCCTACTCGCCGAGAAGCTGTGAAGAGAAGAACAGCGGAGTATCTCATGAGGGCAGAAAGTATCTCCAGTCTTTATGGGAAGCCGCAGCTGGATGATGCATCTCAGGTATATCTTATGTTTTATTTTGCATTTTCTTTAACTATTATTTTTTGATGTCTTTTCTTTCAGCTTCATTTTTTAAAAAATATTTTTTAGTTGTCAATCTTATTTATTTATTTGTGGTGCTGAGGATCGAACCCAATGTCTCATATGTGCTAGTAAGTGCTCTACCATTGAACCACAACCCTAGCCCCTCAGCTTTATTTTTAATTAGAATATTTGAGAACTTTGGTTTCTGGAATTTTATTAATAATTTTCTTAAGTTAATGTTGAAAGGAAAAGCATTATAGCAAATCACCAAAAGTAGAACCAAACAGGACTTGTTTTCTCCTTTTCTCAGCCCTTCCTTAGTCCTTAATGGTACCCTAAATCTCCCCAGCTGTAAAATGACAGCAATTTATACTATATTTAAACTTCTTAAAGTTTAATTATGATTTTTGTACAGTTCCTGTACAATTTTATTGATTCATGGTAAAACTGTTACTTTATTCACAAGTCCTATGAGAATCTGCAATAGTTCACAGATATAATCATTCTAGAAGCAATATTTAGATTATTTGGGACTACTAGTAGTCTTGTCTGTAAGGCAGATAAATGCTTAAAACATTAGAAATGTGGTTTATTATTGATTTTTATCTCTTATCTACCTGGACTTGAAAAATTTCTGGAAGAAACTTTTCTGTATGTTTTTTCTTTATATCAAACTAAATTTTTCTAATGCAAATTAAGGATTATATTTTCTGGTGGGATGCTGTAGTGAACATTTATAATCGTAGCAGCTAGGGAGATTGAGCCAGAAGCATCATAAATTTGATTCAGTCTGTGTAACTTCGTGATAGCCTGTCTCAAAAAAAGTAAGAAAGGGGCTGGGAATGTTGTTCAGTGGTGGAGCACCTCTGGGTTCAATTCCTAATATCATCCAAAAAAAAAAAAAAAAAAAGAACGAAAGAAAGAAAATTCTGGAGAAGAGAAAAGTGTTTAGTTTATTATAATATTTTAATCGATCCAAGAGGCAGGTAACCTTGTTCATGTACAGTTCTACCACTTGAGTCAATGCAAGATGGCGTCAATTTCTGTATCTGAATAATGAGGGTAGTAATTATTCCTTGCTGGGTTGTTATTAGGATTAAATGAAGTTTAAAAAAAATACTTCTGTACATGGATGTACCTCCCCAACCCACCCACCTACAACTTAGATAAGCTTTGTGCCTACCTAGCATAAAGACCAGATATAATCCAGATTAGCCTAATAAATTTTAGCCCCATTCTTAATATCTGCTTCATACACTACTTTTGTATACTGTTTTCCACACACTTTAGCTTTATATAGTTTTTAAAAATTATGAAATGTCTCAAAAACATTTTTCTTTGGTGGTGCTGGGGATAGAAAAATGTCTATTTTTTTAGTTTAAGAATAGCCCAATATTTAACCTTGATTCATTTGACCATTGTTGTTTTTTGTTGCTGATTTTTTGAGCCATTTTTATTTCCTGTATGATTTTTTTAAAGTGCCATTATCACTATAGTTGGAAAAAGTACAGTTTCTAAAATTGTACTTATTAGTGTAAGATATTATATTGAGAATTTTTTATGGTGTTTGACTATTCATTATAAAACAAAAAGATTACATCTAAGCTAAAGTAATATATTTGTTACCCTAACATAATATTTGCATATTAAATATTGTTATCTATTTTGCTGATTCATTTTCAGCTTTTGAACTATTGTGACTCTTCTATGTTCTACTTGTTAATTTTTTCATGTTCTCTATTGTAGTCTTAATTATATTATTCATTTTATATCCTTTAACTTTTCACTATTGAATTTTATTTTTTAAATTAAATATTCATTGATACATTAATTGAATTTAATTCCCTTTTTTCCATGGGGTTGGTGGCCCTCCTTGTTTGCAGTCCTGCTATATACATTCTTGAATTTATTTTGTAGGGCATTGATAAAAACATTAAATAACATGAGTCTATAAACTTATTTGTTATACTAACCCCATCTTGTATATAAATATTCTTAAACATTGTACAAACTCCCTTAACATTAACTGTGAATTTTCTACGTATACTTATTCATTCAATATCTTTGCCTATGCATCCTTGTTAGAGTTTCCCATTGTCACTTCTATGGAGCAAGATAAATATATTTATTTCCTGGGCAAATAAATATATAAAGTCTTCTTACAGTTTTGACTTAGAGAACAGGACCATCAAGTATATTAGTCAGAATTTCCCGTAAGGGGGCAGGCATTGTGGCTTAGTTGTAGAATGCATGTGTGAGACCCTGAGTTCAATTTTCAGCACTACATATAAATAAATAAAATAAAGGTCCATTGACAACTAAAAAAAAATAAAATAAAATAAAAAAGTTTTTCTGTAAGCATAATAACTTCTAAGGAAATAAAGTTAAGGAGATCTAATATAGGATAGCTGATTATACGAGGTTGTATATTAATTCATTAAGCACCTGTTAGACTTTCTGTGCACATCAATCTAGATATACTTTGGAACTATACATAGTGTTTGCTCTTGCAAACCTTATAGCATAATTGAAGACATAAATATGTCTAGTTGAAACAAAAGTTAGAGAGATGGCAAGAGCCATGTAGAATCATGGGAAATTGTTTCAGAAAAGATAAAAGGGGGCACCTACTCAATGTGATCTGGTGTGTAGGATTTTTTTTTTTTTTWAATTTCTTAGGCAAGGATGCTACTGGAGAGTAAGTGTGTATTTTTTCTTTTATGGTAAGCTTTTGCTTTTATTCTCTCTTTTATATATTATTCTGTTAAGCCTGGCCCTATTGGTCAGAAACATGCTTGATTATTTTCTTATCTGTGATTTAAGTTATGTGAATTCCAGAGGTTCATGATTAGCTTGGTGAATTCATGATTTCTTCTTCTTTTACTTTTCTTTTTTAGTTGTAGATGGACACAATACCTTTATTTTGTTTTTTATGTGGTGCTGAGGATCTAACTCAGGGCCTCACACATGCAAGGCAAGCGCTCTACCACTGAGCCACACCCTGGTTCCTGATTTCTTCTTCATTAACCATCTTTGGATCTGAATTTCAGCCAGTACAATGAGAGGATTGATGTAAATGATTTAACCTGCTCATAATTTATCTGTTGATATAATTTCTCTGTTGAATCAATAGGCAAACATTTCTTTCTAGCCTGGTGGATTAGGAAAATAAAAGAATCCTTTTTGGCATTTATAATTTTTGTTAATTACAATTTTCCCCTTTGGTGTAGTCTAAATAATGACCCCCCTCTGCCCAAGTTTTCTGTGATGGCTTAAGCTTTTGCTTTTTTGAACTTCAGAGACACTTGTGTGGTAAATATTAAAGTTCTAAAATTCTGTGCTAATATCCTTCTCAAAGGACAGAAAGGAAATAGAAGCACTGTTTTACCTTTTTCTTTGCTTCATTACTTTGTTACTGATAGACTTCAAGAAAATTTAAGGAGTAGGTTTCAGATAAAAAGGAAATGAGCTTTGTTTGAAGTTAAGGTGAAATCCTAACTGAAGGAGACAGATTTTTTTCACTTTCTTTTTTAAAAATTGTAAATGACTTCGAATGAGTTAAGAATTAATATTGAAAGGGGATTTCCTTTGAAAAGGTTCAAAATAGAATTTTTGCTATTTTTAGTTGTAGGAATTCTATACTCAAGATCAATGAAGTTTAGAAAAAGACAGTAAATGATTTAAATTTAGGACATAAAGATTGTGTAGCTTCTAAAGTGCACATACATTTTTATCATGCAGTTACAAAATGTGAATGAACCTTAATACATAGGATATATGACTTTCCTTTTTTTATATTTATTTATTTATTTTTAGTTATAGCTGGACACAATACCTTTATTCATTCGTTTGTTTGTTTGTTTATTTATTTATTTACTTACTTATTTAATGTGGTTCTAAGGATGGAACTCAGGGCCTTGTTTGTGCTAGGCCAGTGTTCTACTGCTGAGCCACAACCTCAGCCACATGACTTTCTTAATATTTTGTAGATTTTGAACACAGCTGCTATCATAATATCTCAAAGGTATTTTTCCATTTCAGTTATTGTTTCATCCTCAGTGAGACACTGGCTAAGCAGAATGGCAGTTGGGATGTAAATCAGTAATAGAGCTGCAGTTAAGGGTCAGGCGTGGAATGTGGTCCAAGTCAGGCTTGGGAGGTTGGATATTAGGTTTAGTAGGCTGCCCAAGAAAGTCTTTGCAAACCCCAAAATCTATGGAAGAATCCAAGTTCAGGAATTCTGGTGTATTTAGTTCCCAGGGCTTAGAATTTGGTTCCTGATACTTTTTTTTTTTTTTTTTTGATAGTGCTTTCCTTTTGCTCTTACTTATTTTTGTACTCCTCTCCCACAATAATGGCTATTCCCTCTGATTATTTGCGGAGGAGTACTTAGCCCTATTTCAAATGGGGTTGGTGAGCCAGAAGCATCAACATCACTGGGAAACTTCTGGGAAATGCAGAATTTCAATTTCCCACCCCAGACCTACTGAATCAGAATCTTCATTTGAATTCAGTCCTTTACACATTAAAGTTTGGGAAGGTATTGCACCAAGGAAGAGGTAGGAGTAGAGCAGTGCTTACTGATGATAAGGAATGACAAGTGAAAAAGGTTAGAGAATGTACAACTGGAATACTAAGTAGGTTTAATTAGTGTGGGGACTGCAGTCCACAGGTAGAGGCTGTAAAGAGCACTGTAGTGAGAAGAGTTGTGAGAYAGAGCCTGGATTGACTGGGTCTTGGCCCCGGGCTTGGCCAGTTGAGTGGTGTATCTTAGCATCTCTGGTTTTGAAGGTTGTTGGATCATTGTCCCTTCTTGTCTCTCTCCTTTTTGTGCCCATCTTTAGTCCTGGTGTAGATGGATGCAGCCAAGCTTTCTTCTCTGGACATCATCTGCTATAGTGGCTAATAAATATAAGTGAAAATTTTTACCTTTGTCATCAAGGAAATCAGCCACGTTGCCTAGAATTTCACTATCTCCTTTTTAAAAAAGGAGCTGAAGTTACCCCTAATGATGATCTTTTAATCCCCTCTTATCTATTGCCTAGTTTTATCATTTTAGATGGTTTTACTTTGCTACTTCTCAGTTTTCTCATCTGGGGGAAAAAAAAAAGAAACTGAGAATGTTTAACTTGATCTCTAAAGTCTCTTTCTGTTCTTAAAATTCTGTGGATTTGTTTCCTTTTGCCATAGATCTGTGGGATTTTACCCAATTTAAATGTTAYATATAAGAAATATGAGATTTTTTTATTGATGATTTTATTTCATGGTGTTCTCTGTTCATTTCTCTGATGTAACTTTTATAGAGGTTTAAAGTAGAAAGAGAGATTTAATGATCACTTCTTTGCCTTTGGTCTTTTTCTGTTATATTCTCATCTTTGCAAAAGTAACCTCCTAAATCACTGTTTTCATTGGGTTGTTTCTCATACAAAGACTTATCTAGACTCTGGAAAATATGTCTAGACTCTTCTTGGCATTCAAGACTTGTAAAAATTGACCCTAAGTATGGAATTTTTTTTTTCTGTTCTCTAGTTTGAGCAGATTTTTCCTCCCCTAACAGGCCAGTGGCCTTTCAATTTTATATATACTGTTCGTTTCCTAACTTAATTTCCACACAGCACTTAAAAATATCTTTAGTCTGACTTCTTTCTGAGAACACAGGTTATTATCTACTAACTAATGATTTATCTTTGTGGTCCTGTGTTTTAGGAGAATGTTTTATTTACTTTTAATGTTTTTGTCTTATCTTGTTAAATAAATTATGAACTTCTTGAGTTAGGGGCCATTCATGTTTTTTGGTGATTTATATCCTTTGTAGTTATGTTGCACATAGTGGGTGTAGAGTAATTATTTGTTGAAAGATGTAGTTGAGATTTTTGTAGTCTGCTTTCTTTGCTATTGATATTGCTGAAAGTAAACCAAGTACTTCTATGGAAACTGGAAAATCCAATAATATCAGTGAATAAGAAAGTATACATAGAAGATAGGGTTTTTTTTTTTTTTTTTTTTTTTTTTTTTTTTTGTTTTTTTTTTTTTGGTACTGGGGATTGAACTCAGGGTATTTTATCACTCAGTTACATCCCCAGTTCTTTTATTTTTTATTTGCAGACAGGGTCTCTTGCTAACTTGCTGAGGGTCTTGCTAATTGCCGAGTCTGGCCATGAAGGCATTTGGCTATATTTTCAGACAATAAATGGATGGACTATCTTTTAAAGAATTCTTTTTTCCCCATAACTTTTCCCTTTTACTCATTTTGCCAGAATTATAAGCAGTACTTACTCTTTTTTGTTAATGTAGCAGAGGAAGTTGTATTTTTGTGTAGTAGAAAGACTGTAAGCAATAGAGTAAGGGTTTGAGTTTCTAGGATCTTCCACTATCTCTTTCTGACCATGAACAAACATTATACCATTCCCTTTTTTTAATCTATAAAGTGGGGATTATGATACTAACTTCCGGAAAGTACCATATTCAGGGTGGGAGGAGGGATAAAGATGAAATAATAGAATATAGTTAAATTAGAAGAGACAATTTCTGCTATATGTCTGTATACATATACAACATTAAAATATCTTGGTCAGCATTTTTATGTTCTTAAAAAATTCCCCGTAGATTTTTAGCTTTTAGAGAGAGTTTTGTTTTTAAATGACATTTAGCTCAATACCTTATCAAATAAATATTTTTGAAACATATCTAAGAAGTCTAAATTAAATCAGTTTAAAGATTATTATTATCCACTCCAGTTGCCACTATCATCAGCTTTCTCAAGTGTATTTAAAAAATAAGAAGTCTCTATTTTTTTCCCTAAACGTTACCATGTCAGATACCCTGAAATTAGCATGTAATTGCTAAGCCAAACAACAAAATAAAAACAAACACATTGAAAGCAACTAGAATTGCTGCTTTCAGAAAATGTCACAGGTGGTAGTTTTCCCAGTTGTAAATGACAGTTTATCCGGCTGTCTTCTTCCCTAGCTTCTTTCCTCTTTTCCTCCTCCTAATTTGTGCTGTTCCTTACTCATTTCAACTAACCAAGAACTAGCAGTGTGCTAGGCACTGTGAAAATGAAGATGCAGATGACATTTCCTGTTCACAGGGAGCTCTCTGTAGTTATGTAGACAGCAGCTTGAAGTATTCAAGATGGTATCAGCAATTCATTAATCATGATGCGCATGAATCAGGGGATTTTATCTTCTGCTCACTCACTGGTCAAAACATCTCCTCTGTATTCTAATAGATTTTTGGTAATAATCAGGTTCACTCTAAGGACACTCACTCTAAGTGTCTCCTGTCATCCTTTGCAGCATCACCATTTTAATGTAAGGATGAATATAGCAAGCAGTACTTTGTGGTTGTAAACTCTAAACGGAGGTTTGCTTAGAGTTTTTCTAACCTGAATGGCTTGTTTTACTCACAGAGAAAAACTGAAAATAATAGGTGAAAATTAGGGTTAGGGTTATTGTGTGCTGTACTGAAGTATCCCCTTTCTGTATTAACTGATCTTTTTTTTATAGCTAACAGGCTGTTTTCCACATCACAGATACTAAAATATTTAAGAAATTTTTCTTTCTCCTGTCAATCATCATTTAACCTCAGATCTAATAATTATTGCTTATATGATAGATATTCTTAATGTTTCATCATTGTTGGTAATTTTTCTGGTTGAACTTGAATCTGCCAGTTCCTCTTACAACATATGATATATATTTATCAAGTACTATTAAAGGAGTATATTTTCATGCTGGGAAAGAATGCTTGTATTCCTCCTTTTCCAAGTTTATTTGTTAATTTGTTGCTTTTTAGTTCTACTCTTCTAAATTATTGTTGATCAACCTGGATCAACCTGTGGTAAATATAAGGTTGCAATTGATTGTTAACCCAGTTCTCCGGTTGTTAAAAAGGTTTATGATAACTATATAGTCTTTTTTTGTTTTTACTATGCAGTCTTAAATTGAGTTACTGCTCTAGAAACTATATCAGCTCATTAATTTTCTTTTTAAAATTTTGTTTTCAGTGTTATGACTTATTTACTTGCAACTTTTTTCTTCCTTTTTCTTTTTGATTTTCTTTATTTTTTATTTTTTTATTTTACATTACAGACAAACAGAAACTTCCTCCTTTTATCTTTCCCTTCTGATTTATGATAAATTTAGTTTCCTTTGGCCTGGCATTTGCTTCAGCAGGCAGTCTTCCTTCAAGTACCTCCCTGATTGATGTATAATCTTTGATATCTTCCATTAGCCTCCAGGATCACTAAGTTCAAGGCCCCCTTGGAACCTAAGGAGCCCTGCCGAGGAGCTGAAGGCCTTCAGAGTCCTTGGGGTGATTGACAAGGTAATTCTTCAGTGTCTCTTCAAGAGTTCAGTCATAAATCGACTGCATGCTGACATTCTGTCTTTGAAGCTTTGGATCTTAAGGATATGAAACAAAAGGAGAAAATGACTCAAATGCATCTGCACTTTAAAATAACAAAAGCAGAAGAGAAAAAGCTTTTATCTAAGCAATTCATGTAAGGTCATGCAAAATATATTTGAGCAAAAGGAGAAGGTGCATATTTGTTGCATTCACTTGAGTAAGGGTTTTTATTTTCTCAAACTATTATAGCAGGAAGATGTACTTTGTGTTAGTTAAACTTGCAAGTCAGTAGTTTTTCAACATGAATCAGTATACTCTTTCAAATGGACAAAAAGGAAAGTGACATTCCTGAATAACCATCATTTATTGAGCACCTACTATGCGTCAGACCATATGCATTTTTACATAAGATGATATACTTAATCCTTCTTAAAATCCTATTATTTGTGTTTTGGTGGAAATAGACATTAGAACATAATAAGTAACTTGCTCGGAGGTTACATAGCTAATTTAGGGGAATGCTAGGATCCTAACCTCTATATTCTGTTGATTTCCAAAACTGCYTTCCCAGTATACTAAATCCCTTATACACACCCACATGTGCAGCTACACATTCACATACATTTTTATATTTAGAATAAAAATACTGAACTAACACATGCAAGTTTTGTGACAACACATATGTCAAGTATTAATAATGGGTCTGTCAAATAGTTTTTAAGTATAATTTAAAGACTATAGACAATAAGCAGTCTTTAAAATATATTTGACCATCAAAGTAAAAGAAAATGCCTTATTTAACATTAAGGTATAAATTAATCTAGATCTTTTTCACTGCTGAGCATCTTTTCTGAAGTATCTTTTTGTTCATTTATAACTTAATGTTCAAGTACTTCTGTGTTCTAAAGTGTACATGTGATGCCATGTTAAAGTTGAATGATATACACACAATATATCTTAAGCACCTTAGATAATAATTAATAGTTTTATAATTCCAAAGGAAACATTAAGTCAGATATTTAATAAAACTGAGTGTTTTATTCTTATAAGGATCATTTTACTCAAAGAAGTTTATATGCCTAAAGTTTGAATTTAGAGAATTCTAAGTAGCAGGACTTTTCCTTTCCTTTCTTTTTTGTTTAAGTGTCTGAAATATTCCTTTAACTGTGTTTTCTCTAGCCTTTTTAGTGCGGAGGATATTCTGTTTGAGAGTAGATAGAAAAAATAGTAATTGACTAGTTGCTAGGTTCTTGGATGTCTGTGCAGACCAGTCTACTTTCTTGCTGTGCAGTGTCTTCCCCCTCAATTGGATTTGTTCCTTTTGACACAGTGACCTTTCATTGCTTTGCTGAAAGCTTCAAGTCCTCCTGAAGTTCTGCTAACAGCAATGAGTCTCACAGGTTTGCCCAAGGACTCGACAGTGGAGGAATTCCTAAATTCTATGCAGTAGCATAATTTGTTACTATCTTTACCTTGTTCACCTGGGCATTGTTTTTTTGGCAGGTGACATTTTCTAAGGGGAGATAAGGAAATTTGTGTCTTTGCAAATAATCTTAAAATTTACAACACAGTGTTTACTTATAAAAATATGAGTAGATAGATTTTTTTTTTTAAATTGAGTTATTACTCAAGGTAAATTTCTCCCTATTATACTGAGGAATATGTTAGATTGTGGTTTTAGAAACTTGAAGTTTATAAGAGAAGTGTTGAATAAATTTAGAAGTCTAGAAAATGCACAGGATACATAAATCTAGCTCCCACAGAGCATAATTTCTCTCATTCTGTTTCATATAGTACTTGCTTTTTATGAGTTATTTTGACTTAGGAAAGTACAGTTTTCCATTGAACTGTATTAGGAATAGGATTTTACAGACTTTCATCAAGAAAGTAAATAAGCAGACTTATTCATTAATATCTAGACTATAAGTTCCATTAGAAAAAGATTGTGTTTTCCTGTTCTCTTCTATATCCTCAGTACCTGGAATCATACATGGCACATAATGGGCACTCCATAAATATCTGTTGAATGAGTGCATCAAAATTGAAACAATTTAAAATATATGTAGAGTGACACCTACTGGTATAATGTGAGAATGCTACCTAGTACCAGTCTACAAACTGACTGCTCAGTAGGTGTCTTACCCAGGGGGACAGAGTTCCATAGCTGCATGTTGGTTTAGTATTCAAAGAGAAGTCGGTGGTTTTCTGTTCCATAATTAGGGTCATAAAACACCTCATTAACATAGTTATAACAAGGAAGTTAAGCATTGTGGGTCTTGGAATGTAAATAAGCTCCTGTGCATTCAGTTGTAAGAATGATTGGGCTAGTGAAAGCCTTCAAATCATATCACAGGAACAACAGCTGAAGAACCAGAGGAGATTTAACCAGATAAAAACATGTATGATATTTAAAAATTTGAAGGCTTTCCTGGAGAGGGGAACTCCGTCATGCTTTGTTTAAGCTTTGAGAGGGTGAAAGGGAATATTAATTGTGTGGGAGCAACAGGTGCAAGCGAGGAGTGTCTCAGGCCAACAGGGGAGAAGCTTGCTTGTTAAAATCTTCCACAAGACGAGAGTCAAGGAGTTACGAGCACCAGAAAAACAAATTTGGCTCATGATTAGAAATACCTTTCAAGAATTAGTATCTTGACTGAAGGCAGACTGGATTCCTTTAGGTTTTATGGGGTTCCTTTCACTAGATTCAAGTAAGGACCAAAGAATCTGGTGGGGATGTTGTAGAGGATATTTAAGCATTGGATGGATTTTTACCCTAAATAACTTTTAAAGATTTTCTTTAGCCCTTAGATTCATTTATAAATGCTCTTCATTGTAACAATACCCAGGGAAAATAGAAGGACTATGGTAGGATGAAGAAGAGGGATTACTTTTATTTTCGTGTAAGTTTTGGCATGTTTAGATGTAGTCCTTTGTTGGGTGTGTGTGAAACGGGGTGGGGGAGGGAGTGAGCATGTGAGCACATGCATTCAAACATGTGAGGAAAGAGGTGAATATATGGGACGTGTGTATGTTTGTATCGTATAAGAATTGTGTGAATATAGATAATTTGCACTTGAGTTAAAAGTCTGGTTTGGTAATTTGACTGGTAGTATAATGCTCAAAAGCTGAGAGTGTTTCTGACAAAGTTCGTTATTATATAACCTGTCTATAAAAAAGATAAAGGAGCCCATAGTCCAGTTAACAGTAATGTATCAGTGTCACTCTCCTGGTTTTTATATTGTATTATAGCTATAGAAGATGTCCCCATTGGGAAAAGCTGGGCAAGGGGTAAATGGGACTCTTTGTCCTATTGTTGCAATTTCCTGTAAGTTAAAAGATGTTTAAAAAAAAAAAAAACAAAGGCTAAGGGAAACTCTTGACTTGAACATCAGGGTAGTAGTACCAAGATTTGTCCCCTTATGGCTTGTTAATGCTTCTGGTTTAGGGGTTGCCAGAGTATGAGTGTGTGTATAGTGTTCACATGGAAGACCATGAAGAGTGTGTGACTGGATTGTCCAAATTCATTGCTACTCTGCGAAAACAATTTAAACAGGATGCTTTGCAAATCATTTTAAAAAGAGATGTCACTTTGTAAACTCATCAGTATTTATTAGGTGAAGTGCCTTGGCATTTTGTAATCAGAATGGCTTTTCAACTTCATCTGTTAGGCAGAATTTTTAGATTGATGTGCCACTGGAAAATATGATTGAGAAATCATAAAATATGACTGAGAAAATTTGTGGAGATTGTTCAAACTGAATAGATGTTGAAATATTGATACTTACTTTTTTAAGGTTCCTAAGTAATACCCTCTTTGATAATATATGTCCTCACTGGGAACTCAGTTGCATCAATATTTGGATAGTTGCTTATTGAAGGAACATTGGGTTGAACTGGATTAACCCTAAAGGGTTCCTATTTGTATTTCATCTAAACATTGTGGTTAAAATATTACCTACTATCTTTAATCATGTCACATATGTTGGACTTTAGCTTCTGGAGAAACACAGTAGAGATCCTTTTCCATATTCCCCCTGCTAAGTACAGCTACAAGCTTTGGATATGGTATAGAAAAACAACCATAAGAAAACTGAAAAGTGGAGAGAGGAAGGAAGATTGGCTAGTAACCCAAACTACATGGTGAGGAGTTTTCTGTTTTTGTTTTTTTTTAAATTTTTTCTTCATACATTCCAGATTGGATTTGGAGAAATGGTCAACTTGGAAAAGCCAACAGGTGCAGACAAAACATAACAAAACAAAATACCCTAACAAAAGTCTGTTCTTTCTAGCCAAAGCTTAGCAAGACAGAAATCTTTTACTGAAACAATAAACAATAACTGCCCTATTCTAGACCAGTACCACATAAAAACTGTGGCTGCATTTCCACTCCTAACAAAGGCCAAGTGGAACTGCTAGAYTTCACTCTCTGCCAGGATATAACAAGTTGCCCCAACCCCTTTGCTTTGGCAGTGTTAGAGGGAGCCTAGTGGAGATTCAGGACTCTCACCGTTGCCCAGTGGCAATGAAGCCACTTGCACTTAGTTTCATTGGAGGCCATATGAGGAGCTACTGTAACAAGACAACTCTGTCCTTTCCAGACAGGGTTTTATCCTTACCTAGCAGTAATCAGGAGTCTCACTTTCCTCTTTCCCATATCCGTGAAGGCTGAATGGGGAACCTGAACTTCCATTCCTGCCTGGAAGTAATGAGTTTTTTTTAACCCTTTCTTTCATCAGCATGAAAGAGTCTTGATAAGATGCTCAGGGTGTGCTACCACTCCTAGCTTAAATAAGATCTTGAGTCTAATAMCATAATGCAAAAATGTCCAGGATTCCATTAAAAGCCCCTTGTCATACAAGAACTAGGACTATCTTAACTTGAATGAGAAAGGTAATCAACAGATATAAACATTGAAATGACAGATTTTAGAATTATTATGTTATATGTCAACATAAAAGTGCTTCTCTGAATGATTACAAATA